CGGAGTGGCGTGGGCTATCGCACCGGTATCGGGATACCAGTTGTCCGTCGGAATGGAGTGCGGGGCTTTCGGGGCATCGCCGGAAATTGCCACATGCGCCTGTGCCAGTGGTTGGGTGGTGTACCGTTTGTAGAAATAGATAGCGGAGTGACCGTGCGACCGACAGATTTGGCAGCAAGGACCGCCACGTCCACCACGTCCACCTCGCTATTGCTGCCCGCCGCGGTTTCCACGCCCGCCACCGCCGCGATGCTGGTTCGACGAGTGGCGACCACCTCCGCCATGCGAGCCTCCGCCGCGGCCAGTTCCGGCGTACAGTGCCGTGTGAGAAGCCGCACCATCAACGCTCAGATAATCATCCACTAGGATGAATTCATGAGCCTGTAGAAAATCCGACAGGCTGGACAGCGTGACTGAGGCGCCGGACGCCGTGAGACTAGTGGCTAGGGCCTTCAACTCCGGACGAAGGCCTCGAATTACATACAGGTTCTGCTCTATGAGTGACAACGGTCGCCCGGCCTGGATGAGCGATTCAACAAGCACTCCGGCACGAGCGAGGTAGTCGGCGATGGTAGCATTGCCTTGTCGCAGTTGCTAGAACTGCCCGAGGAGGTTGATGCACCGTGCCTCGCTGGTGGAACCGAGCCCAGAGGATATGGCAGCCCAGATATCGGCGGAGGTGTCCCGTCCGAGAGCGAGGTGCAGCACCTCGTCCGACATCGCAGAGATGAGAAGTGAGACTATCGTTTGGTCCTGCTTTACCCAGGCATGATACGCCGGGTTTGGAACCATGGTCGCCGGCGTGACCGACGTGGAGCTGCCGCCAGTGGACTGAGCCGGGATCATCTCCGGCGGGCAGGGATGGCTTCCGTCAACGAAGCCGGTGAGCTCTTGGCCACGAAGAAGCTGCATCCTCCAAAATAGAAAATTTTTGGACGTGAGTTTCATGGTGACATAATGATGTGCACCAGCGAGAGCATTATCGGCGGCCGGCGTGGGTGTACCGGCGGCGGAAAGAGTATGCTCGGACGAATTCGTCAACATATCGGGTAAGGGGGGAGATTTCACGGTGGAGGAAGAAGAATTTGGATTTTTTTTCTGATAACCTGTCGTCTGATACCAGATTAGAGATAATTCTTCATTGATTAACTGGAGAATAGAATACAGAGATATCTAAATAACTATTCTCTAACTGTTCCTGACTAATAGTCTAAACACTCTACACACCACACATCACATAACTATATTACAAAGATATAATAATAATAATAATAATAATAATAATAATAATAATAATAATAATAATAATAATAATAATAATAATAATAATAATAATAATAATAATACTAACAGAGGCATGCATAATGAAATTCATAAAATTTATGAATGCCTTTAACACAAAGTTTCTCATTTTGAGAATGCGTTAAAATTCTGAAAGTCAAAAAGTTTACTAGTTTATCTAGTATGGCTGGCAATTAGCAGTGAAAAGAAAGTTTAAATTTAAATCATGGATTATGATTTAAGTTGGTATGATTCTTCAGTTTAGAAGAAACATGAAAAGTAAAAAGCTTAAAATCAAAATGGTTTATTCTCCAAAGTTGATGTTCTTTGAATGGAGGAGGTTTATTCTCCAAAGTTGATGATGTCTCAAATGGAGGAGGTTGAATTTTTATTTTAAGAAGTCCTCACTGCTAATAAGTTCAACATGATGATTGAAATTCTTGGTTGTAGAATTTGCAGGATATAAATATTTATTGACTAGGAACCTATTAAGTGGGTTCTAGTATAATTAATTGATCTGAATATTTTATTTCTCCAGTTCATTAATAGAATATTAAAATTCTATCTATCATCATGTTCAGTTGGCTAAGTGGATGAGATTAAAAGAAATTTTGATATTTTGAATAAAATCATTAATTATGGTTTAGTATATTTAATAGAAATTTCCATTCTAGAAATATATTATAATGCCAGTTGAATGTCTAATCATGAAACTTGTTCCTCAATTAGTAGATGGATATTTCTACTTGGAGGAGGTGTTGTGTTATGGGTTTCTAAAAGCAAAGTTGTCTTTTCAACTACGGCATCTGAATTTCTTACGTTGGCTTTGACATGCAAGAAGTTGATTGACTAAGGAATTTGATTATTTAGATTTCGGTTTGGCCAAAACCGATGTCACCAGTTTTAGTACATTGTGACAGCACTACTACACTGGCCAAAGCATATAACAACAAGTTATAATGGCAAGTTAAGACACATAGGCAAGAGATATAGCTATGAGCGGGAGATCCTAAGTTATGGCGTTGTAGCACTGGACTTTGTATGGTCCCAGTTTATTTTAACGGATCCGTTTGCAAGAGTCCTTGCAAGGGACAGGGTTCATCGGAAGGGATACGGAAAACCTAAATTAAAATTGCAAGTGAAGGAAATCTCAACTCACGTCTAAGTTATTACGTTAGATCTTGAGTTCAATGTAGATGAGTATTTCATTTTGTGATTTGCAAGCATCAAAAGTTTAATTAAAATTGTATCCAAAGAAAAGGTGATGCTTGGTTCTGCATTGTTGTAGGGATGAGTTTTTACTCTTAACTGATCATTTGAAAAAATGCAAGATGCAGTGCATGAGATAAAAGATTTGCCTCTGTGAGCATGAAGTGTGGCCGCTTCAAACAAGTTTGGGCTTTACTTGTTATGTGCTCATTAATGGATACGGACACATGGCCATAATAGTGTCAAGTTACAGTGAGTTGTAATGACTATAAAACTTCTGTGTGTTATATCTACGTTTCTTCAAAGAGACTGCGTGATTCAAGGTTCGTCCATCACAGCAATCCGAATTAATGTAACGCATATAATAATATGTGAAAGTTCAGTCTCTAAGACACTTTCATTTATGCATGAGTTTTGGATTTATCTTGGTACAATCCTAAATTAAAATTGCAAGTGAAGGAAAGCTCAACTCACGTCTAAGTTATTAAGTTAGACCTTGAGTTCAATGTAGATGAGTACTTCATTTTGTGATTTGCAAGCATCAAAAGTTTAATTAAAATTGTATCCAAAGAAAAGGTGATGCTTGGTTTTGCATTGTTGTAGGAATGAGTTTTTACTCTTAACTGATCATTTGAAAAAAATGCAAGATGCAGTGTATGAGATAAAAGATTAGCCTCTGTGAGCATGAAGTGCGGCCGCTTCAAATAAGTTTGGGCTTTACTTGTTATGTGCTCATTAATGGATACGGACACATGACCATAATAGTGTCAAGTTACAGTGAGTTGTAATGACTGTAAAACTTGTGTGTGTTATACCTACATTTCTTCAAAGAGACTGTGTGATTCAAAGTTCGTCCATCACTGCAATCCGAATTATTGTAACACAAATATGTGAAAGTTCAATCTCTAAGACACTTTCATTTATGCATGAGTTTTGGATTTATCTTGGTACAATCCTAAATTAAAATTGCAAGTGAAGGAAAGCTCAACTCACGTCTAAGTTATTACATTAGACCTTGAGTTCAATGTAGATGACTACTTCATTTTGTGATTTGCAAGCATCAAAAGTTTAATTAAAATTGTATCCAAAGAAAAGGTGATGCTTGGTTCTGCATTGTTGTTGGGATGAGTTTTTACTCTTAACTAATCATTTGAAAAAAATGAAAGATGCAGTGCATGAGATAAAAGATTAGCCTCTGTGAGCATGATGTGTGGCCGCTTCAAACAAGTTTGGGCTTTACTTGTTATGTGCTCATTAATGGATACGGACACATAGCCATAATAGTGTCAAGTTACAGTGAGTTGTAATGACTGTAAAACTTGTGTTTGTTATATCTACGTTTCTTCAAAGAGACTGCGTGATTCAAGGTTCGTCCATCACTGCAATCCGAATTAATGTAACGCATATAATATTATGTGAAATTTCAATCTCTAAGACACTTTCATTTATGCATGAGTTTTGGATTTATCTTGGTACAATATTAATTTTTACTATATAAATGGAGGAGGAATGTTGTAAATTTATATAGTAATAAAGATTAATATTTCAGATGGACTACCATGAAATCTTAAAATAATATTTGGAGTTGAACAGTTATAAATGTTATTTTAGTTTGGTAGAAAGTTAATTGGAGAATGAGTTTGTTGGAAGGTTTTGTATATTCCCAACATTGGGGGATCATTCCCCAACATTGGGGAATCATTCCCCAACATTGGGGGGGCTATTCCCAACAGTGGGGGGTTATTCCCAATATAGGGGAATTGTTTATTTCATTTGAAAAATGATTGCACAACACATGAGCTTCCAATTTTCCCAAACTTATATGCAAAAGTGTGCTAGAAAATTATAATGTATATTATTATAATTTGCACAGTTATTTGCATGCGGTTCACTACCTTACAAAGGTTCATAATTACATATATATTCATCTTGAACATGATTTATGTAATTAATATTCTCTTATGATAAATATATCATTTAAGATATATTGTATGGAAGATAAGTTTTTAAAACTGCAGAAAACTTCCATGTAACTTTTCCAACAGTCATATTTTCATTTATAAATATTTTGGAGAAACATCTGAAGATAACGATGCAATCTTGCATTGATCTTGATATTTCACAGTTCTACAATTCTACAGGAAATTCTTAAACAAAGCAACTTAAGAATTTCATTCATCTTCTTGTATCTCATAAGATTAAATCTTGAACCTTGTTGCTTTTATAGAGGGAGATTTAAAGCTTATAGGAAAGTGATTACACGTGATGGGGAATATACCCCGGGTTCAGGCTCCACGTACGCTCCGTGCTCCTATTTGGGTCGGGTCAAACGGTTCGGGTCAAAGTCAAACCCGACTTGGGTTGACCTATTTAAGGGCTTTTAACCCTTCATTTTGGGGGCCCTTCCTCTCTCCCTCTCCACTACACTATACTCTCTCTCTAGAATGCTCTCCCTTCTCTCTACAAAGAATTATGAATAAAAGAGATCCACTTGAGCTACCTCTACATTGTTCATACACATACAATACATACATACATATATCTTACGTACACGGGTATTAACAGTATCATTTTGGCACCGTCTCTGGGGAACGTGACAAAGAGTTACGTTCTCACCAACAAGCAAAGAGCAAGAATTACAAAAATTCTGGAAAAGCTACTAAAAATTTGGAGAAGATATAGAATTTACAAGCAATCACCACAGATTTTAGAAAGGAGGGGGTTCGGACCCAAGCTCTCAAGCTACTAAGCTGGTATCCCAACCGCTATACCACTATGTTTCTTGTTTCATTCTCTTTGCCTCTTGCAGATCATTATTTTCCAATGGAGTTATTTATTCTCTGTTAATACTGGAGTATTGTCATCCTCATCACCACTTCAAGAAATGCCGTGCATGCCATCCACAAAAGCAAGAAGAAGCAGAGGATACTAGAAATGAGAAGTGTACCTTACCACTTACAACCATCCGTATAATTCACCGGAGAAGCTACGAGCCTGTGGCAATCCTATCACCCACAGCCACCAACCCTTGCACACTTCATGTCATCAAGGTTCCCAAAAGACTGCCTCAATCTTACGTCCATTGTTTCTTGGGTGTTTCTTCTTGTTCCTTGAAGAAAACCCAGATAAAAGGTGGGGGATAGTAATGAGGAAATAGTTGCAAATAGTGGCCTTGAATTTGAGAAAAGGTGAAGCTGAGTGTGCATGCAATGTAAGTGGTGGAAAGTGACGGTGGTCTTCTGCGAAACAAAAGGAAATTAAAAGTTAAGCTTTGCATGTAATATAATTGGTAATTGGTGGCGGTGAAGTGGGGAAACCAAGATAATGGAGAAAAAAAGGTAAAAATAGAAAGGAAAAATGCATGTAAGGTGAAAATCAGTCTCCGGAATGAGCCCAAGCACCCGGCGGTATCCTTGATGGTCGACAAGCTTGCCGGCAACGATTTCTCCCCGAACAGATTTTCCGGAGCATCCTCCGAACCTGCTCGGTGTAAGGGGGATATGGTAGTAGCTCCCGGTCAGAGTTTCGTTATTCTGACTTTCTCGACCTTGTAGTCTCATACCAAGTCTCCCACAACCTTGAGAGTTGTATTCGAAGTTGTATTAGCTATAGCTAAATGTATTAGGACTAGCGATAGATTTTCAATTTGTAAATTGCGTAAGTTTTAGTTGAGTCGTACCAAAAACGATCTTACCATAAACAAATAGCGTTATGCACTATGGATCGGGGCAGAGCCATGGTTGGCATTCTCACCGTTCCCGATTGACCAACATGAACGTCTCGTGCAACCGACCGGAACACCACCGGCCATAATTATCTTCCTGACCTTCGCCGAGCGAACAATTAACGAAGTTCATGAAGAACCGAGCTGCCATCTTGGATCAGCAAGCAATGTCGAACATGATCCCTATCACATCGATCATTATGGGAAGGCAGGTGTATTCCAAGTCTGATCGATCACAACCCTCCGTTTAAAAGAACCCGAGTTGCCATCACAAATGGTTTCTCATTCTGCTATGACCGGTACAGAACAAGCTGTCAATCTAAAATGTTCCCGATCGGTTCAACCTCAGATGGTCCCGGTCACAATCCAAGCTTCCCCGGTCTTTTCTCAGCAACGTATTCTCGAACGTACCTCAGACGCCGACCGCAGTGACAGAGCATATTCCCGACCGCCAAAAAAAAAAGTGTACAAGCCATGCGGATAGACCGATCGACACCCATCTCTAACTGAATATATATCAAGCAGAATTGGCATTGGTCAGACCGGCTTCACCGAGCCTTCTCAGAAGTTCCCGAGTTTCCAATCCGGATAAAATAGCATCACCGAGCAGATTATTGTACCGGGTACTGGTCATCTAGAGTTTCACGCCGTCCGGTCTATTTCTCCCGATCATCTGTGCCAAGAGAGACACGCCCGAGCTGTCAGTTTGAGTATACATTACCGAGCACAAGTCCCGTCACACACGACCGTCCATTTAGATTTATATAATTCAAGAAATTGAAGGCTCCATACTCCCGCCTCCCCCAGCTCTCAGAACTGATGTCCGATAGTCAGCGCTGCCGCCTACAAGCTGAGCATATATACCATAGTCGCAAATTTTCCCGATCACCGGTTCCTTATTGTTCATAGTTTCCCGGCTGTTTACCCGACTTGGCCAGCCGGTCTCGTTGTTTTCAATGTTGGTGGCATGACACCCAGAGATCAAGTATAGTGCATGCATGCTTAAAGCCATGACAGACCTTCCACTATTTGAAGTTAACCGAGCAGCAACGGTTTTCAGTTGTCCGAGCTCCCCATCATCCACCGGACATTTTCTCGCCGATCGACATCACCAGGCAGGTGGATCATTGAGTTGGTACCCCCGATCAACTCCCCGATCTTGTTGACCGATCAACTCCCCAAGCAGTTGTAAAAGATGCTGGTGTTGCATTCTCTCCCGAGCCAGCGGTCGGAACCAAACTCTGGGCAGCTTCTCAACCAAGCCAAGTGGCAGAGCGCATTCCCCGACCGTTAATCACTCAACCATCGTGGATTTTTCACATCTTATATTCGAGGTTGGCCGTATAAATACTAGGTAGAATTGAAACGAGTCAGAACGGCCGTCACCCAGCTATGGGGGCTTCATAGTCATCACCGCCCCAATCTGTTGTTGAATTTCCTCCCGGAGGCTATTTGATCGGTATTTCCCGGTCATCCCAGAACGGTGTCCCGGTCGTCGATCATGAAAAAAAAAAAAAAAAAAATGATGAATATTGCATTTCTAGTTGCTTTCCTCGGCTCCGATCCCGAGCACCAAACAAATCATCATGCCCCGGGCAAATGGTTGGCGCAATTTTGGCCGAGCGCATAAGATCCCTGATCAGCCGCCCCTAATTTCCGAATGGGCAGTCGGGGCAACTTGTGTGTTGATTGCACTGCTTGCGTGATTTTTGTGATTACAACACAGTGTGATCTCCACTCGGCAAAGTGCACAGCGAGTAGATTTTCTAAAAATTTTAAAAGTTGTAACTTATTAGTATAGTTTTAGATTATAAAATGTACAGGACAGATTGTAAATTGTATTAGTTGTAGTTAGATAGTCCTAACAAATTGTATAACTTATAGGCTTATACTTAAGAAATTGAAATAGGCCCGGTCAGGTTGGTATTCCACCACCGGCGCCCTAAGCCCGGTTAGGTCGGCCACGCCACCACCGGAAATGTTAAGCCTGGGAAAAGCCCCCACACCAAGCCCTACTACGTAGGTAAATCGGACGAGGCTCCAGCCAACGACCGCAAAGTGGCTTAAACTTGTACCGATCGCAAAGTCGCTTAAACTTGTACCGACCGCAAAGTCTCTTAAACTTGTAACGACCACAATGTCGCTTAAACTTTCCGGCCTTGTTGCCCAAACGACCACAATGTCGCTTAAACTTTCCGGCCTTGTTGCCCAAACGACCACAATGTCGCTTAAACTTTCCCGGCCTTGTTGCCCAAACGACCACAATGTCGCTTAAACTTTCCGGCCTTGTTGCCCAAACGACCACAATGTCGCTTAAACTTTCCCGGCCTTGTTGCCCAAATGACCACAATGTCGCTTAAACTTATGGCCTTGTTGCCCGAACGACCACAATGTCGCTTAAACTTATGGCCTTTAGTCCGACCGGCAATTGACCGACCGTCATAGCCGCTCGGACTCGGGGGGTTATACACACGTTTCTTTCACGTTTCCCTTCGCTTAGTCCGACCGACAATTGACCGACCGTCATAGCCGCTCGGACTCGGGGGGCTATACACGCGTTTCTCTCGCGTTTCCCTTCGTTTAGTCCGACCGGCAAATGATCGACCGTCATAGCCGCTCGGACTCGGGGGGCTATACACGCGTTTCTTTCGCGTTTCCCTGTGCTTAGTCCGACCGGCAATTGACCGACCGTCATAGCCGCTCGGACTCGGGGGGCTATACACACGTTTCTTTCACGTCTCCTTCCCCTAAGTCCGACCGGCTATGACCGACCGTCATAGCCGCTCCGACTAGGGGGGCTATACACGCGTTTCTTTCGCGTCTCCTTCCACTAAGTCCGACCGGCAATTGACCGACCGTCATAGCCGCTCGGACTCGGGGGGCTATACACGCGTTTCTTTCGTGTCTCCTTCCATTCAGTCCGACCGGCAATAGACCGACCGTCATAGCCGCTCGGACTCGGGGGGCTATACACACGTTTCTTTCGCGTGCGTTTCTTTCCACTAAGTCCGACCGGCAATTGACCGACCGTCATAGCCGCTCAGACTAGGTGGGCTAGACACGCGTTTTCTTTTCAGAAATCAGCGTCTAATCTAGTCCGACCCCTAATCGACCGATCGTCTTAGCGCTCGGTCTCGGGGGGCTAGACGCGTTTTCTTTTCAGAAATCAGCGTCGAAAATAGCCCGAACCCTACCTCGACAGGCCATCGTTGAGCTCGGGCTAGGTGGGCTTGGGGAGCACCCACTCTTGAAGTATTGCAAACAATCAACTAAACTGAGAGGTTGCTCTACGCCCCGGTTAGGTTAGCATAGCCACCACCGGCGCTCTACGCCCGGTTAGCTGGCGCTCTAAGCCCGGTCGGCATCATTGCTACCGCCGGCGCTCTACGCCCGGTCGGCATTATTGCTACCGCCGGCGCTCTACGCCGGGTTAGCTGGCGCTCTACACCCGGTCGGATTCATTGCCATCGCCGGCGCTCTAGGCTCGGTTAGGTTGGCATAGCCACCATTGGCGCTCTACGATCGGTCGGCATCATTGCCATCGCCGGCGCTCTACGCCCGGTTAGGTTGGCATAGCCACTACTGGCGTTCTACGCCCGGTCGGCGTCATTGCTACCGTCGACGCTCTACGCCCGGTTAGGCTGGCATAGCCACCACCGGCGCTGTACGCCCTGTTAGCTGGCGCTCTGCGCCCGGTCGGCATCATTGCCACCGCCGGCGCTCTACGCCCGGTCAGTCGGGTCATTTGCCGATCGCGATTAAAGTTGCAAAGCAAACTCGGAAAACTATCGTATCTACTATCTTATGTTGACGATTCTCGCAACTAAGGGAGAAGGGCTACACCGATAGTAGCTTGTCGCGCTCCCGCGTAGATCGACCTTCCCGGTCTCCTAGTGTTAAGTCATAGAAAGTTTGATCCCCAAATCGCAAATAAATCCGACCTCCCGGTCGTACCTAGAAACCCGGTCGGCAGACCGGTAAAGTAGACTTCTAGATCACAGCTAACCCGATCTCCAGATCTTAGCTAGCTTCCCGGTCGTTCATCCGATAAAGGTTCGACCTCTCGAATCATGTTGCAAAACCGACCCCTAGGTCGGGTAACTCCCTTTTTTTAGTCCACATGACTGCGTTTAGCGTTGTGCTTTTTTTTCCTTAGCTAAAGTTTTTCCATTGGATTTTTTATTAGCTTAAGGTTTTTAACGAGGCAACCGGCGCAAGTCACAGACCATGTGATCAGTTTTCCAGCCCGAATCCTTCCTCGCTAGCTCATCGTCAGGGCACGGACTAGGGGGGCTTAATGATGGGCAATATACCCCGGGTTCAGGCTCCACGTACGCTCCGTGCTCCTATTTGGGTCGGGTCAAACAGTTCGGGTCAAAGTCAAACCCGACTTGGGTTGACCTATATAAGGGCTTTTAACCCTTCATTTTGGGGCCCTTCCTCTCTCCCTCTCCACTACACTATACTCTCTCTCTAGAATGCTCTCCCTTCTCTCTACAAAGAATTATGAATAAAAGAGATCCACTTGAGCTACCTCTACATTGTTCATACACATACAATACATACATACATATATCTTACGTACACGGGTATTAACAGTATCAACACGCTTGAAGATATCAAATGATCTAATTTTTGTTCTCTGTTGTTTTCTGTATTTTGTTGTATTTTAAATGTATTACAGATTACAAGCACTTTTTTCCAACATATATATATATATATATATATATATATATATATATATATATATATATATATATATATATATATATATGATACTACTAATTATACGTAAGCAATATAAAATAACACGAGACCAATTAAAGCAAGTAAAATCTTTATTGATCACGGCAAAGGCCCTAAGTACAATCTACTTGGTTGCTCTGAGTACCGACTGAGTGCGGTCGGGATTCTCTAACAGCAACCTATCGATCGTCCAAAAGTCCTCTACACTGTAGCTACTGTGGGTATTTATAGCCGTCGCGCCGGGGACAAGATTCCGGCCGCTCGGCATGTCTTCCACGTAGCCACCACGTGTCAACCTCCCGGGTGCCCTGCCTGTCAGCATAAAGAACCGCCACGCGTCCCTTCGTGTCCTTGTGCCAGCTCTTTCGTCGAAGGGCTACCGCTCGGTGGTCGACACCAGCGTTCGGGCAACTTCCGGCCGTTCCCGACCGGGATCTCTATGAAAAAAGCCCGACCTGCTACCTGCAAGGATCAAAAGAGAAAGACAAAGGCAAGCCGGTCGTGGCGGAGCTTATGTCGGTCGGGATATTCCCTACCAAAAGCCCCCCAGCCCGGGCCTTTTTGATCAGTCGGGAAAAAACGGGACGGGATGAAGAAGCGCAACCGTCAGGCACTAGACCGACCGGCCAGCTGTCATTCCCCTCCTCGCCACGTGTCGGCCACTGCCGGCCTCTGCGACTGCAACCGTCGCCTCGGATTCAGCGCCAGTCGTGTCACGCAAGTGGATTCATTTTCCCGCCTAAATGCCCTCCTATAAATAGGCCCTTGAGGCCCTCATTTGAACTTTCCTCACTCTTTTGCTTCAGTCGGTATCCTCTAAGAATCCCGAGCAGAGCATCTCAGCAAGGCGATCAAGCAAACAAATTTCAAGCTCTCTCGCGCAAAGTTCCTTCATCCGGTAAGCTCTCCCTCCTTCTCTTTACTTCACGCTTTCAACTATAGGTAGAACTGCTAGGTCAACTAACTGTCCCGGACGACTCAAGTCCTTTACTAACCCCGACCGACCTTTAGGTAGAGCGAAATGACGGATTCTGACAGTCAAAACGCCTCGATCGCGGATTATGACGAGGAGGTCGAGCACACTAGCGGCGAGGACGTGGACATTATGTCCTACACTCCCGAAGCCAGCCCCCGAGCAGCGTCAGCCCCTGAGCGAGCCGTCGAACATAACAACGCATCAAGCTCTTCCGGGACGTCGAGCTCTAGCTCCAGCGGATCGGGGAGCTCCAGCGAAGAAGAGGAAGAGAGAACCACGTCAAGCGGGCGGGGTTCTCCGACCGAGGGCGTTAGGGAAACGCCTACCCGGGTGGTTGGGGACTACCCGGAAGCTGCTCCTCGAGGGGGTGATCGGTAAAATACCCCCGAGCAGACCGAAGAAGACCCGGCCGGGCCGGCCACACCAGCCGTCGAGCTCGAATTCTTGAACAGCGAGAGTGTCGAGCAAGAAATGAGTCTGCTGACCAAAGGCGAAGCGGCTCGGATTGCTGAAATACTCCAGGGTCGGGTAGAGTTCGACACGAGCCGGCAGCTGGGGAATGTAATTGACAGGCATCGGGGCAAGTGGATCGGGATGCATTACGACTCCCTAATGGCCCCGATTGCCATTCCCTTCCCGGCCCTCCTGACGGCCTTTCTAGCATACTATCGGGTCGTTCCGGCTCAGATCTGCCCGAACGCACATCGGATCCTCGCCTGCTTCCCGCAGATATGCACTCGGCACGAGGCCGAGTGCACGATGGAGCTGTTCAATTTCATTTACCAGATCAAGGTTCTCCCGGGCCGCTACGGGGGCGGGTTCCTGATGCTGCAATCCCGAGCAGATATGTGCGCCATCAAAGGCCTGCCCGGGAACAACAAGGGGTGGAAGAATCGAATTTTCTCCATCAAATACGACCCCTGGATCCTCCCGGTCGACCGCACTTGGAGCAGCCACTTCAGAAAGCAAGTGGTGCCGAGCGTGACTCAGGCGCTCAAGGAGACGGTCACTCGGATCTCGAGTGAAATACACGAGTATTCCATCTTCCGGACAGCCGAGAGTCTCG